GGCCAAGCCAGTGGCGCTGAAGATGCTTCGGGGGAAGCAGATACCATGTAAGGTACCAGGTGAAGAATGTGTCTTCAAAGAGTTGTGGGATCTGAGATTCGGAAAACTTTATCTGCGGATGTAGGCCTAAGTTTCTGCATGCAGAGGTAGTCCCGCAGCCATCTAGGCCGATAATCGCGAACTGAATCTGAAAGTCTTCCCAACTGCCGAGCTCCACGCGATGCATGCGAGCTGGATTCAGCTCTGCACGAACACCCATGAAGTCCGAAAGAAATTCTTCCACTAAGAATGGAATCTGCCGTTTGTGGCAGATGCTTGGGGCACAGAATCCCATGGACATTGGCAAGCCCCACGTTACCTCACCAAAGAGTTTCTGACTCGTACCCGAGGTGTTTGTAGGGAAACTAACAGACCAGAGTCGACCCCCACGATTCCGACACCGAGCCAAGAAAAGACTGGCGGCTGCAGAGAGTTGCTGAAGCTGGTCCCAAGGCATCTGCTCCTGCTCCGGGTGATTGAGTTTGACCCGAATTCCATCTGATCCAAAGGCGTCCGTGTCCTGAACGAAGGTCTGGAAGCAGGCATCCTGGTTCTCTTCCAATGCAGCTGCCACCGCAGATGGCGCCGTCCAGGCGCCCCAAGTAAGCAACGCGCATCTGGCTTTCGGGCGCCACATGGGGCAATCTACCCTGCGATACAGGTGCCTTGATCCAGCCATTTGGTGCTATTTGTTGACATACACCAACCTCATGTGATTGAAGAGGGCCTTCCTTTCCACCAAAGCATGCTCACGGTATTCCAGCTTTCTGCAGCACTCGCGGCGCCTCGCAGCACTTCGCTTGCGAAAGTGTCCTAGCACGTTGCTTGAGAGCCGTTGTAACGACTGGATCCCTAGATCCAAATTTTGGTCTAAACCGTGTCGACCCTGAACACATACCAGAGTATGAAGCAGGGCTCTGCGCAATAGTGCTGGTCGAAATGGACACGTCCACAACTTTCTTGTGAACTACTTCGGATGCTCTAGTACGGTACCTAGTACAGTACCAATTCCAAGAGTTATCAGCACTGGAACCTCCATGTGTTGTGCAACTCCTCAAACTTATTCCCTTTTTATTGCTCTGGGCTAAGCCCTATAGGTTCCAACCTCTAACCTTCGACATCCTCAAGCTGATGCCCTGCGAATGCAAAACGTGCCCTCAACCCCAAACCCTGAAAGCCATTGAAGCCCATCCTTCTTCCAGCGCGCGGCGCCTCCGGCGTGCGGCCAAAGTGCTTGAATTTCAGGGTCCATAGGTGGTTAAAAGGACATTCATAAGTTGGTAGGGCCGGGGAGGGTAGCTGTAATTACTTGTTCTCATAATTCTCACATGAGGTGCGTATAAAAAAGCTATCCATGAACCTTCAACAGTAGGGTTTTAGGCGGGCTCAGGTTTGGAGGGATGAGGGTTCAGGGTCCCCCAAAAGTTCGGGCCGTTTGGGTTTCCGGGGCAGGCAGTAGTCCAGGCGAAGGGCTTCTCTCAACCTTTAAGCTTCAAGGTCTGACTTAGGGTTGAGGGGTTGACGGGGGGCTTGGAATCAGAAACCCTTATAAGCAGAAGAAGAGGAAGAGCTTTTCGAATAGCACGCCTTTGCTTTGCCAGTTCTGCCCAAAGGTGCCAGCACAAGTCCGGCGAAATCGAAGAACCTGAGCCAAAGGGTTCAAGGTTTTGGGTTATCTCTCGGGTTTTCGAGTTCGAGACTTCAGGGCGTGAGCACGGGTCCGGGACTTCAGCTCGTGATTCGTGTGGAGTGTGGATGTGGCGACAATTTCCGTGAGGGATGATCTTCCCGGTCCAACCGCGAAACCCTACAAAAGTCCCCTTCTACCCTCTTGTCCCACAGCCCAGTGTTGGAACCTATGCCCTGCTACATGGGGATTGTTCTAACCCACATGACGCAACACGACTGGCCTTTTGGCCAACCTTCCGCGGTTTCCAGGCGCAACGAGTGTACGAAACCAGGAGGCTTCTTCCACCCAGACTTCCGCAGCTTCCAGGCAAAGACAACATGCATTCTGAAAGCCAAGCCCGCCCCCAGGCTAGCATACAGTATACAGAACCGGTATATTGAAACACCTCCCGTACGACAAGCATACCTGGTTTTGGAATAGAACATGGCTTTCTGCATGTCGGAACTCTCAAGACCTCATTATCCCAAGAACTGTTTCGGGCCAGCGGCTGGTTTTCGACTGCAGAGCTTGCGCTAGTTGAACCTGAGGCCGAGGTTCATAGGATTTGTTATCGCCATTTCAGGGGTTCTCTCTCTCTCTCTCTCTATGATGAAATTTCAAGCCCATGTCGGAAGGTTCAGGGCACTTTAATCCAGACGGTCGCAGCCACCCGATGTACTTGGTGTCCAAAAGACAACGGGAAAGCTCTGCCAGAATCACCGTCTTTGGGAAATGGGGGGGGGTGGTAAATGCCAGCCTGGCCCATTCCATCGATCCACAAACGACCATATGTTGCTTCTGAAGGCTTTGCATTGGCAGCCTGGTGCTGTGTGACAGCTACATTGTGACGATGATATTTCAAGATTCCCAGCCAGCATCACACAAGAAGAAGCCTGATATCAATGTTTGCCGAGATTTGCCTTCAAGCCCCAATTCCTGCGTGCCTTGTCCACGCCGTGCATCCAAGAAACTCGGCTGGCGATCTGTCTGGATCTTTGCGCCCACAGCTGCCAGTGCCAAAAGCATGTTGAGAGGAGAGCAGCCCGCCGTCTGACCATCTCCAGCTCCTTACACAGAATGGTTTATAACATTTGTAACACTCGAGTCGTGCACTGCAGCCTCACACTAGAACTAATATGAACTAGAATGCGCAGAAATGGCGGGCGACCCATATAATCAAGATCATGCTTTCAAGGCGGCAGCCTCCAACGACTCACTCTGAAAGTCAGCCAGGAATCCCTCATCCGGTTCCGATTCTCAGCTTCCTTGCGTCGGTGCCGGGCCTGTACGCTCGTGCATGTCTGGTGCCTCATATCTGCTTGGCGTTTTCGGGGCCTTTGCAAGTGCCTGGTAATGATTGGCCTGGAGGCATCAGGCCTTACAAGTGCTGGTCAGTGCGGATTCAGGGGCCATGCCAAAGTGAAACCGCACCTCTAGCTGCCTACAAACGTTCTCCCGCGCTGAAGCTCCAGCGCTCCCAGAACAGCCGGCCTGCAGTGTTGAGGCAGCCCAATGCTTCCAGAGCCCCAGCTGCCGATGCACGCTCGCGATGTCCGAGATGCGCCGGGAGACCCGAAGGAGCTGACGGCTGCAGTGCGCTTTGAAAGGCTGTTCGGGAGGCTCTTGGGGCTTCGTTGAACTGGTTCAGGCATGTGCACGATGTCATAGAATCTGGGAGTGAGACATGCAAGGAGACGCAGACCCTATGGCCATGAAGAAGTCTCGAAGACCGGTGCCTTGCGTCTGCCGCGGCTCCTGGAGATGTGGAAACACCAGTTGGACCAGACCGCAGCAAGGAGAACAGTACGTTGTTTGAGCTGGAAGAACTCCTCAGATGCTCTGACATTGAAGCGCTCCGGACTCGAGCTTTGCAGGCCCACTCGTGTGCTTGGCATGAGGTTTGGCAGCAGCTATGAGAAGCCCAAGATGAAAGCTTGGCAATCGGATGCAAACCATCAGAAGCCCCAGACCTTCACCTCGTGATTATTATCGCAGACCCCTCCAGAATGGATTCAATAGCTTGGCGGCTTAGCCTCCTGGATGTTCCTAGACTAGGCTTCCTTCAACTTGCATCAGCATCTCGTCGGAATCGAGGCTCCGAGGCAGAAGCGGCCACCGCCAAAGTCCTGGCGCTTTCGGCTTGTGGACGTATGTGGGAGGTCAATCTCTCCACTTGGAAGCAGGAAGCACCTCGTATCTGGTCAGCCAATGCAGTAATTTGTATGGAAGCTACTGGGAATCCCCCAACCAACCTGATATTGCAGGAGCAAGGCTTTCAACTTGGGCTGCATGTCCTGTCACAGGCACGAGCCCAGTTTGCGAAGACCTCTCTCTCCACCACGCGCGCCCAGGCACGCACTGCAAAGCTTAGCACGCCATGGCGCTGCAGCCGCAGCTGACCTGTGAGCATTCTTGAAGTACTCATCGTACTCGTGCTCAGGATTTGCTCATGTACCAGCACTCGCTGGGGATAGCTGCAGTCTGGTTTATTGCCAACACCAGGACATGCATGTCTTCAGCCCACGTCTGCTGTCATTTTGCCAAAGCAACATCCCCCGTGCTGCTGATATCTGGGTTGCTCTGCTTAGGTAGCACATCCTCAATTCTGAACCACAGCCCTGCAATCAAGCTGGGGCGCAGTTCGCGAAATCTCTGCGCTGCGCGCGCTTCCGCGACTCTGCCGCCAAGCGGGCCCATTGCAGCCTCAAATTCTGAAGGCAATCTGAGATTCTGACGTGTTTCATGGCAGAGGATGCGGAGTTCGTGGCGACTAGGTTGGCTCTTAACCCACCTCCCTGCTTTCTCCAAACCCGCCTCCCCGGCAAAGTGCACACCTGCCCCACCACACTTCATTAGTCCTCCAACAGGATCAATGGGGGAAAGGCTGCGGCCCACCTGCCAAGTCACGACCTGCTTGCCCCTTACGCAAAGCACCCCTGGAACGTAATGCTCAGACCGAACAGACCGGTCCCCTGAAGCCGAGTCGGACGCGAGGAGCGACAACAAATACATGTGCTGTGATCCGGAGGTGTGCTGAGGTGTGACATAGTCTAAGATGCTGCAAACATTCTGTTCTTCGAATCGTGCTGAACTTGCCGCTGACAGTCGTCCATCTTTTGCCAAGCCCCTCCTTTCTGTTGAAATGCTTTCGGGCTGAATGCTCAGAAACAAAGCAACCAGTTCCATAATGCCAGAGAATGGGGCCTCCTTGCAAACAAGCTTCAAAACAGCAAGCGCTAGCCGGGTGGCCTGACAGCTGTGCATGTTCCATTAGCAATCGCTGTGTCAATGTGGATCACACAATATCACACAGCAAGGCCCCTGCCTGGCTTGCCGCAGCACGTGCCACCAGGGCTCTTTTCATCCGGCGACCTTCGTGGGTTCTCCGGGTCACCTTGGCTCTCCCAGCCGGGCAGGCCGAGGACGGTAATCCCACTAAGTACTGGGGCTGTTCGAGAACTTCTGCAACTGATGCAGAGTGAGCCGGTGTTTCTTGCCTCGAGCTACCATGCATGGTCGTGCTCATAAGGCTTCCTTCGCTAAGGCACATGGTGCCAAAGCCGCAGCACGAGCGAGTGGCTGAGGATGCTCCTTAGCATCAATACAGTGCGCTTGTTGCAGAGTGCATTCTCTGGTTCAGGGATGGACGCGCACAGAAATCATCCCTCAGAAGTGAACCGAGTTGTCAAATCAACACAGTTCCAGTAAAACATCTGCTGGGAAGCCACTGGTCGCCTGGACTCTTTTGTCTCCCTTTTTGGTCTTGCAGCGTGGTGAGCAAGCCGAAATGGTCGCTTAGGAACAAATGCCCCAAACCAGTGGTGGTGGACTCTTCTGGGGACGATGTGGCCTCCAACCCAAAATCGACAACCCTCCGACATCCCGGCTGTGGCCGCTTTGGGGTTGGGGGCCGCTGCAGCCAGTCCGCTTCCAAGGGTGACAGGGTGACCAGGTGCTCCAGAGGCTCATTACCCACGAGCTGGATCTGTGTTGGCCTCCAAGCTCCAAGCTTGACCATGACCCGATCGTAACGCATCTGCTCGTAGTCCCCGATGTAAGGATTCAGCATCGAATCAAAAGTCTTTCCCGCCTCACCCGGCCGCAAGGCCGGCCAAAGATCCACGAAGTCTTGGAGGAGGCCCACCGCGGCATTCTCCAGCGGTTCATGCGGAGGCTTGAAGTTCCGCTCCGAATCGAAATTGAAGTCGCCCACCAGCATTGCATCGCTGAAGGGAGCAAGGATGCTGGCGCAGTTCTTCAGCTGCTCTTCTCGCATACGCGGATTCCCCAAGGACTCGAGGTGGACGGTCCCGATGATGAGGTTTGGTACTTTGACAAGCAGCAGTCGACGGGACATGCCAGTGGGCAGCGGATGGAACTGGAACTCCACCTCAATTCCTGGCCGCACGAAAGCCATGACCTTGGAAGCAAACTACTTTCACTTCTCCAGCTGCCTGCGATGTCTGCTGCCTCCTGAAGCGACCCTACAACCCAAAATCCAGTCGAAGTGCTGGCGTGGACAGCTGCGAGGCACATGCATTTGGAGACGTTACTTTGTTGCTGAAAGATTCTCCGGGTCACTCCATAGGGCTGTACGGTCTCGTTGTCAGGGCTTTCATCAGAGCAGTGCCAACTAGGCAGCGCCTTCCGCAGCTGCTCGGCGACCTGTCATTGCAATATATTGCAATGGCATGCGTCCATTAAAACAGATGAGAGGAGAGCAATGTTGCAGAATGAACAGTGACGTCTGAGACTAGCTGACTAGCTATCCCGAGTGCCTCAGGCACAACTTCTTGGAAGCAGCACACAGAAGGCTCCGTTGAACGTATGACCTCTGGGCATCAGAGCGCAGTGCTCGAATCGATATGTCTCAGCTCTTTTTTGCGTGTCTCCTCGGTGTTAGGTCATCTCACATACATCTCCCATTGCACTCATGATCACGCTCTTGGAGGTCCCGCGCCTCAAGAAGTGCACGCGTGCGGGCGTCTCGCAGCTTCAGGTCGAACCAAATGTTGAGAGTCAGCACAGTGAAGTCCCCTTCACTCTGCAACATTGCGTCGCCGCTGGAAGGGCTGTCGGTGACTGTCAATGCAGGACATTTCTCATCCGACAGTTGCCATCTTGAGCCATGTGTCCCATTGACGTCTATAAACTATGAATTTGGTGTAATTTGGTGATCCCTGAATGCCCTCGTTACTGATGGACTTGGATCCTAGGAGGACGGCTGCGTATCGCGACTGATGTCCTTGCCATGCCCTGCCGATGTATGTAACAAGGATGAGGTTTTTCTGTGCAAGGTACGGAGTCTGGAGTGTGCGCGCACACACACAGAGTCCCTGCGAAATGGCAAGGGGATGATCTAGAATCTAGAATCTCCTGATGCCGCCAAACGAGCTGGATGCAACCACGGCAGAACCACCATGCATGACCGGGTTTAAGGTTAAGCTACATTGACTTGAAAATCCTTAAACCTTGGCAAAGAACCATATTTCGCAACCACTTGCTCCGGGCACATGGCAGTCTACTACTCAGCTGCTGCCGGGAATCGTCGGCCAATTCCCATGAGCACAGCTCAAATCTTTGCAAAGGCCTCCCGGAAGTCCGTAAGAAATCGTAAGAATGGAGGCCATCTGTACACTGAATGAACTAAGAGCGTGAAGTGTGGGTGGTCCAGTCCGGTCTGGCACTTGCCTTCAAGAAGCTTTCGCTGGGCAGCATATTTCCACCACCGCAGATAGACCCGTGACAGCGCGCAATGTCGGCGCCAGTTCCTGAATGGACACGCTACTCGAACAAATGCATGCAAAACGCAACTTCGTCTGGTTTCATGCATCCTTCTACGCTCCTAGTTGCCGAGAACCACAAAGCTCAGCAGAGAATCATCCACATCACGATCGGTCGTTCACGTTGAGGTCTCAAGCGCCTCCTCGACCTTCGCCACTCGATGAGCCTCTGATTTCATGACACCGCACGCGATTTCAGCCTTTGTCCCAAGGACACGCTCTCCTGCCAGAACTGCTTTGCGGATCTTGGCTGCACTTTGCCGAGCGGCGCAGTGACCAGCAGCATTCCTTCGTGGCTTCTGGCCAAAACTCTGGCCGACAGGAGTTGCGCCCTCTCAACTTGCCTGTGGGGCGATCACACTTGCAAGGGCCATGGAGTAATTGCTTAAACAGCCAGGGCTCACATGCAATTTCAGTTCAAGTACGTGGTACGGTACGGTTCTGTGTCGTAAGTGGGCACGACGCCTGATCTGACCGGTGGCCATTCGCCAACCCAGAAGAACTGCTCTGGCAGCACAGTGACGGTGTTGCGCCCTGACGTGGAAGGTCTGAGTAGCGAGTGACACCTAACGTAGGGGGGGACAACTCAGTGGACTAAACTGACTAAATACGGATCACCAACATTCACCAACGATCTCCCATGATCTCCCTCCGCCTTCGTGCCAAATCGTCCTGCTTCAGCAACCGCACTGCTCCTTCAGGGAAGTTTGCCCTCCATGGCTCGAAGGTGTTTCAGTCGCTTCAGTACGTGTTTCGCAAGGCTGAGGCTGAGCTCCAACAAGCAAAGACCTTCGCTGCCTCCAGTAATTTCTCCAAAAGGAGCACACGAGCTAGAAGCATACACACTGTAGGCAGAAACCTCATAAGATCTGCTGGTCACCCTGAGCAATGCGCAAGACACAAACTTCATTCCCAAGCTGCAGCTGATCTCTCTCCGGCAATACACTGCAAAATTAGTCTCAACTCTGAACCATCTCTAGCCGGTCCTTGCTGCATCTTCAGCTCGTGCCGAAGTTGTTCCATGCTGAGATGTGCGGATCCCAACCTAGGCTAAACTCTTCGCGAAAAACAGACACTGTCCACCAACATCCCGCACACCCATCAAGCCTGGAGTTGGGATTCAGGGTTCTAGACACCTCCATGGAGAAGCGGGAACATTGTATTAATAGTATTTCCACCGCGTCCGAATCTAGACCGGGACTCTATCTGGACTTTAGGATCGGACCTACTAGTATGGGAAGCCCCGAGAATATGCACAAGCCCTCATCCTCGAAAACTCGAACCCCCCCGATAAATTTAATCAACATCATAAATAAAAAAGTGCTATCATTATTAACAGCATTTTGAATACTCTTAAACCTGCTATTTTCCGATATGATGGAAAATATGCATAGTACTGTCGTACTATGAATGCTCCTATCAAAATACCTACTAATATTCTTTACACTTCCGAGCCGCTGTTGCTCCCACGCTGCCAGTCGCAGGAGCGCGAAGGCACTTGCCAGGACTGCGGAGCGACTGGCTGCTTCCAACTTCCTTTGCGTCCGAGAAACAAGGGATTTCTAGAATTCGGGTTTTGAATGGAACCGAGTCCCTATAATCCCTTTAATTCAGGGTTGTGGGGGTCGAATGTCGGATAACTTCAGTCTGGTAGCAGCAGCAAGGTGCTGGCCACCCGCTGGGCGAGCGCCCTTCCCCGCATCTGGAACGTGATCTCCATCTTCTGGGTCTTGCCGCGCTGTGCCTCCACGCGGAATGCCTGGAGTACCTGCCCAGGGCTGCATTTTCCCGCTGGAGCATGTCATCTGGCTGGAGTCTTACTGTGTCTTACTGCTGCTGCAGCACTTCTCTGCAGCAAACTGATTCCCATTGGGCCTGGTGTTGAACCCAGGCATCTGCGGAGGGCATCGCAGAGTGCCAAGCTCTGCGTGTGGCCACAGCGTCTGGGTCAAAGAAAGCTTGGGCCTGGCGAGCCTGATCCATGCAGGCCGATGGAATTTGCTTGTGATTCCTACGATGCTTACCGAGCACGGTCCAGTGTGTCGTGGGACCTTCCTCTCAGGGTTCAGGTTTAGCGGCTAAGCCTTGCCACTCTGGTCGCCATCACGTGCTGAACAGCCTCTTATGCCGAAACCTCGGACCCCCAAAAGCCGAGCATTTCCAAAGAGCCCCAGTTCCCCCAGAACGCCGCCTTCCGAACCCAGTAGATCTTAGTGAAGCTTCGCCAGGCACCCTCGAGGCAGCGATGCCGGCGCCGTGCTGACAACTGCCGGCGGCTTCACGGAAACACAGGGCGTAGATGGCTCGGTGCGCAGTTCACATAGGTAGGGTTTCAGGATGAAGGTCTCGGGTCATACTCCGATGCAGGCATGCGATCCGCCATCAAAAGGGGTGACGCTCTGATCTGAGCATTTTTAAGTCCACATGGACTTGCTTAAGGTGAACAAGTTGACAAATACAGTTCCGAAAACGCATGCCTGACATGCGAGCAGCTTGAGGTACTTGGCGACGTGTTCCTGCTGCCGGCCTTTGCTATTGCTCAGGTACTTCGGCTTGGCGGCTAGGCCTACCGCTTTGGTACGCCCGCTCGAGAACAACATTTACCATGAGTATCATGAACTAGATGTTTGCCCAGGATGCTGGCAAAAACCCGACTCTGTGCAAAGTGCGCCTATGCCACAAACCTAGCAGACCTAGCATCCTACTCACTCACATTGACCATCTCAGCCAAGCCAAGCTTCTCTGGTGTGCCAGGTGCGACCATCGGCACAGAACAACCTCGGAAGACAAAGACACATCGGTGCTTGGCCGTTCCGTTCCGATCGACCTGGCAAAAGACCTCTCGCCTACGCCTACGCTGCGACCTCGATCAAAATTAGACAGAGTCATGCAGATAACGCCAAAGATAGTGCTAACAAGTGCCGAGAAGCCAGAAGCACTTTGGCGCTCCTTGCTCCAGAGGCCCCGCTGGAGCCACGCCGTGCAGTCTTCAATTGCCTGACGAGCTGCCGCCAGCCGAACGCGAACAACAGAAGGATTTGGATGCGCTCCTCAAAGCTGTGAGCGGCTTCGCATGGCTCCGGATGGCTTTGCATGACTTCGTTATACTTCGTTGTCACGCGTAAGCATGGGTAGCTTCAAGGGTGCTTGTTCGTAAATTGTTCGTACACTCGGATGGTTCGACAGATGTCGACGGTCTATCGATGCTAAAGCTCTCTGGCTACGACTCCGGGATCGGCTACACTGGATCTTGCCGAGCTGCTGGCGCCAGGCACGCAGGCCTTCGAATCTGAGCACGGGGTGCGCGAGCGAGAAGTAGAATCTTCCATCCAATGAATGGAAGGAGGGCTCTGCGTGCTCTGCCCATTTCCAGCAGTTGGCCGAGGCGAAGCCGAGCAGAAGCCCGGGCAGAAGCTTGAGCAGAAGCCTGTACTGCCAGGTGCCGCCATCTGGACCACAACATTTCAAGCAGTGCTCGTCTGTGGAGCTTGGAGACTTGTTCGTGGGATGCTCTCCAGGCACGCTCTGAGCTTGCAATGCTTGCTGCGACGCTTGTATCAGCTCGACGTTCTGCACAACTTGCCTTGACCGACGTCATCCATGCTGCGAAGCAAGCCTGGATTCGGGAGGTGGGAGTTTCACGTTCAAGAAGCTTTCGTACACGCCGTGCAGCTCGATTGCACAACGCGCGCAGATGCCAGCGGCGGAAAACACTGCGAAGGCTCTCTCTTTCGGCGAGGATGGTCTGGTGCCATGATCGCAGCACTGCCCTGAGCATGAGAATCCCTGGCATTGCCAGCCTGGAGAATGTCATTTCAAGAGCCGGTATCTTTGCAGACCTGACCTGGCGAGCATGAACGAGATGCTGCTGAAGGCGGTAGCAGCTCCAAGCAGAAAAGAACTTTCGTGTGGACCGGCAGCGGCCGTGTTGCAACCTTGATCTGAGCCTGGCTTGAAGCACCGTTTCAAGGCGCCGCTCCACGTACTCACGGGTCCACGCACACCACGCGCGGGTGAGATAGCGGCGCTGGCCACGTCGAAGAATTCGCGCGAGCCAGGACCGACACCAAGGGTTTGCAAGGACATCCCTTACTGGCAAAGCTTGCACACCTTTCTCCGATTGGACCTGTAAAGTCTGAGTGCCTTCTTCCATGGTTAGTGGCAAGAGGGCAGTCACGGCCGCATCCGAAGTAAGTCGGACAGGTCTTCTTTGGACTGCCTCTGCCTCTGTCGCCTTCCGGCATCTTTGGAAGCGCAACTGCCATGTTGCGTCACGCCGGCGCCTTTCCTGACGGCACGGGGGCTGATGGAACATCTCTTCAGATTCGGTTTGCCCAAAATTGTTTTTTGCAGTTAACAGACCGCATGTTCGTGCGACTGCCCTGCAAGTTGTCAGCCGAGGTGCGAGACACTGGTGCAAGACCCTCCTCAGAAAAAAAAACACACACACACACACATCTTGTGAACAACAAGCAAGAGATGGGCAAGCAGCTCGCATCTATGACGTCATTTCAAACGCAAATCATGTTATTTCACACCACATCCAAGAAGGCCTCAGGGTAAGCACTGCCGTCTTCCTGCACAGTGTCAGGTCTCAGCTTGCGGCGACTCTTTCTCGGGATGTTTTCGAGGGATACTTGCAGATGCTGAAAGAACTCAGAGTCCGTTCGGGCACGTTTCGGGAAGCAGAAGGTATGCTAATCTGCGAGCGAACCCGTGTCCTCGTCGCAAATCCTTTGTGCCACTTGAGAAGAACAGCATGCAGACGACTTGCAACCAAGCCATCTGCCATTAAAATAAACCTGAATGGGGCACAGTCGAGCAAAAAATCGAGCCAGATGAGTTCTCAACTCACATGCAGTCATCTTATATTCCCATTCGGTGGCCCCCCCATTGCCAGGAATGAAAACTTCCCACTAATGAGATGCCTGTCCCGCAGCGACTGCATCGAACGATGTGGAGGCAATCTTTGGCCTCGGGGAGATGGTGATTCCGAAGGCCTGCGCAGAAATCACCAGAGGTCTGCGGGTCAGAGGGTGCTTCTCGGAAGTTATTCGGAAGCAGGAAACTATGTCGGAGTTGTAGCCTTCACCTTTGCTTGTGAAAGGCCTTCTGTGGCATTGTTCTTCTTGCTGAAAGCTCAGTATGCCAATTGTCTCGGTGCAGGGGATGCGAGCTTTGTGGATCTCCTACACTAAGCCAGCTAAGCCATGCAGCGCCCCACACATGCCACTGATTTTCCTCTGAAAGCTCGTCGCCTAAGACCACCTGAAGACCTGAAGCCCTGCTACCGCAGCTGCCTCGGAGCATGTTGCCAGCTTCGCCAGCTCTCCCAGCTGTGCTCCTGCTTTTCACGTGCCCAGGGCTTAAGTCGGCGAAGTGGATCAGGATCGAAGACTCTAAGACAGATAGAACTCAAAAGTGCTTGGTGCTGTAGGCCCTGGTTTCTTTTTGGCATGCGTCGTGCATTTGCTCTTTAGCTTGGGCTTGGGCTTGGGCCGTGAGTAAGGACGTAAGCTTGTCATTTACGGGTTTCGGTGACACAGAACCACATTGCCAACGCACGGATACAGTAGTGATACAGTACTCTTGCCCGACACACCCATCCTGAAAGGTACCATGCAACCGACTGGCACGACTCATGGTGTTTGAACTGGGGGTTGGCACCAAAATATGTGATTCACCCACCGGTGGCTGAAGCTCATGCTGCAGGACTATATAGGACTATGTTCAGGAGGCTGTTGCTTTGCCCGCCAACCGCCCATCTCCGTGGTTCCTGATCACGGCTCACGTTCGGACTCTCGTGGCCGTCGGTGGTACTTTGCCACGGTGATGCTGGGATGTTCCTGACAAAAGCACCCTGCTGCACGCCCGAGACCATTGTGCCAAGCTAAGCGTTAAGGCTTTGAGAGCAGTCTTTGCAAGCAAGATGCAGTAATCTGCTCACCCGGTCGATTCTATGGATCAGCTGAACTTTCTTGTCGGACTCGACTTTGGTGTGGCATTGGCGGAACCCTCTCAGGGAGAGAAGTCACGCTATTTCGCACATGTGCCTAGAACTCGCCAAGCTTTCATGGACATTACAAGCCAAACTGTTCTGTCGCATCGGGAACATCAAGAAGTACCGCGAGCAATCCTTTTGAACGAACTCTCAACCTTCTAACCTTTGAAGGCCCCTGAAACAAAACCACCGATGAGGTTTTGAAATGTCGAGACAGACTCTCCCCTCAGGGCCGCTGTGTAACCATCAAAAAAGCGGCAGCCTTGTTCCGCCTGCCGGTGCCAGGAGTTGAAGATGGTATGCAGCTGGTGCTTTCTCCTTAGACTCTCAGAGATCGTGTGCTACGAGTCTACGTCGAGTCTACTACGAGTCTACGAGTGCTGTGCCATCGGTGTCCGTGTTCAGCTGCGCAGTTGGGGAGAAAAAAAAGAGCACCCTCGCGGCCCAGCAGCTGAAGGTGTCGAAGCTTGAAGAGAAGCCCTTCGGCAACTCCCTCGCTCCACATTTGCAGCTGCACTTGCTGCTGAGCCTGAGACTCTGAGACCACAAGTAGCCAAAAAAACGCATGCACCCCAAAGATTTTCCTCAGGATTCCACGGCATTAAATCATTGTCGAGATGAGAGACGTATGAGGAGTGCCTCCAGGTTCCGAGTGTGATCGCCACTCTGCGTTTAGAGACGCGCTCAAGGGAGTGGAGCAGCTTTGCGGCGCCCGACCTTTTTTGCTTGAAGTGGGCCGCGACAAACATGGACCGGGAACGTGACACGATCATCGCCGCCCAGGCCACCGATTGCTCGACATATTTTGCTACCAGCCCATCAGGATCTTCGCATCCATCTGGCAGGTTCGACTCGCCGTTGGGCCATGGGCTGAGAGAAAGTTGATTCAAGGATTGCTTGCCAGAGTCCTTTGCTCTGAGATACACGTCGCGGTTGGCTTCTGCTGCAGCTTGCAGGCGCTGTGGGTGTAGGTGGGAAAGTAGTTCCCCCAACCTCTCGAACCCCAGAAATATCGGGATCAGCTCCCTTGGATCTTGGCCCACAGGCGCCTTGTGGCACTCCACCTCGGCTCTTCAACTAGCCCTGCTTGGCTTCACGAAGCTTTTAATAGCTTGTTTGAAACTGATTGAGTGTGGGCATGGAACATACGACATGTCGGACAAGGCAGTGGTCTAGTAATCCTAGTTATCTTTGCTGCAAAGGGCATCTGCAATCAGTGTTCCTGGCCTTCTTGTGGGTTTCCCTGTGGGATGACACCCTCAGTGCTTCCAGATGATGCTCAGATCGTACGAGGTCCTCGGTGGAAAGACCCTGCCGCACATGTGACATTCACTTGTGGGGTCCTGTGTCTACACGTCTTCGCTACGCGTATCAATCTACAGTGCGCCATATTTGCTGCATACTGTACAGCATAACTGCATGCTTGTTCGGGCCATCAGTGTTCGGGCTAAAGTCAGTCAAAGAGTCAAACTGGTAACTTTTGCGGCTACTATGAAAAGGAGGCCGCTATTGTTGAAGTACCCAGGAAATGACCCACTGAATTCAGCCCCGAGGACGCAAGTACTGGGGACCGAGCGTGTTCAAATAGCATCCTGCTTTTTGGGGACTGAGCGTGTTCAACTAGCATCCTTCTATTTGGGGACCGAGCGTGTTCAAACAGCATTCTGAGTTTGGGGGCCGAGCGTGTTCAACTAGCATTAAGCCCTATAACCCTAAACCTAAACCCAAGAACACTCAACCCTAGACCCTTTCTGTGCAATCCGCAGTCAGCTCAGGGTTCAGGGCTTAAAGTGTAGGAGGCTTCGGGCTTCCGGGCTTAGGGACTAGGATGATGTAGGGTTCAGGGGTCGAAAATTTGGGGGCTTACGGGTTTGGAGCATGTGCAGATACAAGAGACAGGAGGACCCGTATTCATTGAAAACTCCAGATAACTGACTGATAAAGCCATCCACCTTGATACTTCACTGCAGTGGGGTTAGCTGTATAGGGCGCTCAAAGCTGGTCTGAGAGGAACCAAAAGGACAGCAACTTTGGCGAAATATTTTTTGTGGGCGGCACGTGCTAGACATATCCCAGCGTCCTCTGGAAATCTCGAACCCTGGCATTGATGTCGGGCAGTGCTCGGAGCACCGCAGTTGAACGGTGCATGCATTCATCGTCGTTTGTGTGCTCGGTGATGTTTGTGTTCCCCGACTCTTCTTGCCTGTTCAGATCCTCGACTTTCACTGCTTCCCACATGTCACGGTACGGCGCCGGCGAAACGAGATCCTCAAAAAGGAAGTGAAAGATCTGCAGCACCCTCTGATCGAAATCACGCGAAGACCTTGCGAAGTCTTCATGGCGCACCACCAGCACGTCAGGGTCGTCCCTAACTTTCTGCTGGCTCCTGTTCATGCAGTCAAGAAGACCAAACATCTGCTGGGAAACGATGCGCAGGCCCTCAGCAGGTCCCATTGTGAGCATCTCAAAAAAACGGTATCTTCGGTGCATGCCAGGGGAAGATCTGCACTAGTCCCCTCCTGACTTGGCGAAGCAGTATGCTGAGCCCCTCATGTCCTGTAGGTCTCTGATCTCCATGACGGTGCGCCAAGGTCCCGAGGGCAAAAGAACCCGGTGAAGAGTTTCGTTCGTATATTTTATAATCTACAATTTTTTATCCTCTTTTTCATGAAGTGAGAGAATGCAAAGAGCGAACGTAATGAATGATGAAAGACATTGTGATCAAAGGTCGTAATTAACCTCTCCATTTCACAGCAAAGCAGATTCAGAATGCATGGGAACTCTGCTTCGGGCTCCCTGCACCCATAGCTACGTACGCCCGCTTTCGGGCTTAAGAGCACCGGCCTAAGCGACAAGGAGCTGCGGAATGTACAAGCATTGGGGCTTGCAGTGTCTGTGCGTCTTCGAGGACTTGTGCCGCAAGACTCAAGCAAGCAAGCTCAGGGAAAAACCTCGTTTGGGAAAAAACCCTGAGCTCCACCGACCTGCAAACTATACAGACCAGCGAGCCTGTGCGCACACCCCACTGCCAAGAGACAAGCGGAAAACCCAACAGACCACACCACACCCAAGCCAAAACCAACCAAAAACCCAAAGCACCAACCCAAGAAAAAACCCAAGCAAAGGAAAACCAAAAGAAGACCCAGCACGAACCCCTGGCAGAGAGGAGGGCGAACAACTGGAGCAGTTGCGGGCGGCTGGAAAAGTAGCGGCCCTGGAAGGCTCTGCAACAAACGTTGGAAGAATCCCCTTCATTCCTTGGGAAAGCTCCTCTCATCTGCCAGCAATTCATCCAAGGTGGCAGGACAGCAGCCTTCATAGTCACAAAGAGCCAGGCGGCAGATCCGGTTGGATAGGGATAAATCTGGAAGTTGGATCTCGAAATCCGAATCATCCACCGAAAAGATGCACGTCCAGCTCCATCGCCTGCCATCTTCCACCACTGTGATTTCTTCCAAGGTCGCCAGTTGGTAGAAGCCTAAACCCCCGCCATGGCACAGCAGTGCCACTTCATCGCCCTCCGCGACGGAGGTGGTCGGTAGAAACAGCCGTTGCGCCCCGCAGCAGGGCGAGACCACAAAGTAGGCGTCATGCTTTCCAGCCGGCTTGCAACACCCGAACGCTACGAACAAAGTGGACTTGACTTTCATCTTGATGAGCTCCCACTCGATAAAGATCGAGCAAAATAAAAGGATCAACCCAATCACGGCCGCAGATATGACCGCCACAAGTACCAGGTAAAGTACCATAGTTCTCAGGAAAGTCAGCACATTAACAATGTCACTAGCACCTCCGGAATCACCGCTGGAGCCGCTGTACCCATAGACAGGGCTGCGACTGCGCCTGACTGCAGGATGGCTCTCGTAGGAATGGCTGGAGGAATGGCTACTGGAATGACCGTGGCCCCAAGCATCCGCTGCCTGCAGCAAACTGGCAACGAGTACAGCTTTGGACTGGGCCATGGCTAAGGGTCCAGCGAAAACTTCTGCTTGAGAGTGAAAACTGCTGGAGGTCAGCCAATGAGTGCTGACTTTTTTATGACTTTTGCAAAGGCTTTGTGGGTCTGTGATTCCTGAGACACTTCTATTGCAAAGCGTGTTTTTGCAGAAAGATCCCTGAGTGAATCAGTTCGGAAGTCATCCCGTGGCATGGAGAGATGATGTCTGACAAATGCAAGCTTGAACCAGTTTTGCAGGCATTTAGAGTGAACCTAGGCAGGTCTTACTGGGACCGGCGTTCTACACAGACCATTGATGAGACTGAAAAACCCTTGACTTATAGACCCCAAACGCGTATACACCTTACTCTATATACCCTAGCAACCCTACAACCGAATACAAACCCTAGAAGCTTTAACGTCCGACAAGCTCCACTGTCAACCCCTAAGCCGCGCCTAAGCCCCCCACGGCTGCTCGCACCCGCGCAAGCTCTTGCTGCAGGTGCTCCGTTTCATCGGAAAATCGGAAATGTTCCATGGGGTCCGTAGAGACCTGGTCTGAGGCATCCCTGACCTGAAGAAAGACCTTAATGACCTTAAGACCCTAAACCCCAAAACCGAGGGTGCGGTGACAAGCCACGGGTTCTTGCGGAGGTGGCTCCCATCTTCCCGGAATGGAGGTGACGGGCTCCGCCTGAACACTGGAGCTTTTACGAGGGTTTAGGGGTCTAGGGTCTAGGGTTTAGGGGCTAGGATGATTTAGGGATAGGCCCATGCTGCCTCAGAAACTCAGAACATGATTTGGCTGAGACCATGCGGCAATAAATACTCGGGAAGGACGGATCAAGTTGTTATTGGAGGGCATTTGGGTGGGGGGTGGGGGGGGTGGGGGGGTGATATTCACCATCCGGCCTGGAACGAACTGAACTGTTCGGCCGTTAGACCAGGCTGCCAGACATGCATTTCTGGGTGGCAGAACTCCGCTCGCTGCTGGGTTTTGCTTTGTTCTGTCAGCTTGCACATAATTTGATCTGTGGCTTGGAACTCCGCTCGCTGCTGGGTTTTGCTTTGTTCTGTCAGCTTGCACATAATTTGATCTGTGGCTTCAACCAAGTACTGCTGACTTGAGTAGAAGGAATGGCGTGCGCGCAGCACATGCATTGCGACTATAGAGCTACATTCGTGGCTGCGGCCTTTCAAGCCTGCATCCATGCAAAGCATTCAGTGACTCACAGACTGATATCGGGCAACATCCCACAACTCTGCATAAACAGCCTCGTTTTTTGCAGGTATGCATGGGGAAGCTCGCGGGCGTCATCCGGTAGAACTGTTAAGGTTGGCTTCTTCGACTTCTGTGGCTCACGCCAAGAGTTTCGCACTGTTGCTAAGACACTGCCTTTGTTTCTGCGGCACTAGGCGCCCTAAGCAAATAAGTCAAACCGGTTATGCTGTTATGCCTCAATATGATGTCTGACGGCTACTGGTAGCAGCTAGCTCAAACTTCTACGTTGGTGGTGCTGCCCCAGGCTTTGGCATTGATTCGCTTCATCATCGCCTGCCAAGAGAGGTAATGAGGTCTAATGAAGAGCTTCGCAATGCCTAGATGATCCGGGCTGCACAATTTCTTGCTAGGTCGGGTCCTGCAGATGCTTGACAACCGGAATCCTTGCGAAATGCTGGTACAATCACTGGACCGCCCATGTGCTCAGTGTTGGTTGGGACTGGGTGCTGGATTTAGTTGCCTTCGTTGCTACAGCTGATGGGCCGACTGCACACTGGACCAGCGGCTCTTTTAAGCCAAAAGAGCTGTGCATCCACTCCCTTATCCGACCTTGATTTGCTTGTTGGGGCCGCACTCGTAAAAGTCGGTAAGCCCAGCCTGGCGGTTCAAACGTCTGCACCCTTAGCCCACTCAACTTATGGAAACCCTGATGGCTCATCTTGGGGGGGATTTGCAGAAGGGTCTTAGGTTGGCTTGGGCCAGGCACGTACTTGCTGCACCTGCAATCCTACCTTGGCTGTGGGGATCGATGGCAAACAGCCGTGTAGAACTGACGCCTACAGCGCTTTCGGGCTTGGAAAGCCCACGGCAATCGCATCGGAGTTGCAGGTTCCAAGTGAACCGCCTACAAGCTCTGTTTGTTGTTGTAGGAAGAGTACTTATTAGGGAGTCTAGGTAAAGCTTCGTCTCGGAGTTGTTCCGAGGCGCGGCCTTTTGCCGACCCTGACAGGGTTTGAGGAGTTTTGGGGCTTATACGGGCTTCGCTGTTTAGGTCAGTTCCTAAAAAATGAAACGTGATGTACGTAAGCCATTAAAAGCAAAGCTTCAACAAACGCTTGAAGAAGCTCTTGCAACACGAATAGCTGTCCTAAACAGCCCCCTGTACCGTGAATGCCAGCCATCGCGACATGCAGCAAAATGCACACGCACACAAGGAAGCCCAATGGGCCAATGGGCACCAATGCCTCGAGCATCTTTTGCACAGACGGCTCCCAAAGCACAGGGCTCGTGAGCTGCTTCTTGAGGAGGTCAACCACTGCCTCTCATGGGGAGCAGTGAGGCCAGGATGTCAAGGTGATCGGTTTTCAGATTTCTGCGTCAGGTTTTGTCAGGCAAACGGGCGCGGCCGGGAGTTTGGTCACGTTGTCTGTACTACTACTATTTGCTGAAGAACCCCAAGAAATAAAAGATAACAATCCGGATATTGTCCTGACAAGGAAGAAGCATTTGTGTTGTTCGGGTTGCAGCAAGTAGTAGTCTACTCTTGCAGGAGATCTCAGAGCGGCCAAGCTGTGGTTTATCCACGCAGCAGAAACTCAGCAAACGCTGGTGTCGTGTAGAACCTTGCATATCTGCGCATACTTAGAATAACAGCTGCAGGAGGTCGCAAAATCGTAAAGACCCAAGATACTCCAACATACCACACGAGCCACTCTCTGAGAGCCCCCGAGCCCTGGGCCCCTGAGGCCTCAGGGGCAGTGCCCGGCGTGAGGGGCTCGGCGGTGGCGTTCATGTAAACCGTCTTCTTCAGCCTGAGCCCGAAAAGACCAGCCCTCTGGCCCCCCCCCCCCCCCCCCCCTGTGGCAAAAAGCCGCGCTACAAATGGGTGTGTCTCGAAGCCGTGGGCTTGTTTACCCAAGGGCCCTGCTCGGATGAACTTAGAATGACGCAGACTTGGGGGAGATGCATGAAATTTGGGGTGAGGTCATGCAAGGCCCGCGAATTGTCATCCCGGCATACCCTGGCAGACCCCGGCAGTACTGTGGCTTCGAGGGTGCTGGGAAGAAGTCGGGGCTAGCACAGCAACAGCGCAGGAAATGTGGGCGCGTTTGCTGCACGCACGCGGATCTCCCATAGCCGCAAACTTGGCAGCATACCAAAGTAGCTTGGGGAACCACAGCCCTTCTTCGTAGACATGCAGCATCAATGCTCATTTAGTCGGCGTAAATTACGGCTGCTTCCCTTGCGCTTCCCTGTGCTGCGCCATATGCAAACCTACATGTTCCAAGGACAGCGCGGCTGCATGCTGGGGAGCATCTCATCCAGTGCCTGTTCTTCTTCTTGGAGTGTCAGAAAGTAGGGGGGTGAGGTGTAATTTCAAAGAGGGGCGTCGAGTTGATGAGTGACAGCCAAGGATGCAACGCTGCTTCCGACCTTCCTACGCACCTGTCGTCGAGATCTGCGCTCTTGTGGCTAAGAGGGATCACTGCTCCTATGGTCCTATAGAGTCACAAGGATCGTACTGGAATCTCCAACAGAGAACTGGATACAGCAGCTCCACAAACCAACCAACCCCGAAAATCCATCAACACTAAAACTATCCCAAGCCACAGTTCCATGTTTTTCTGGTAACTGCCAGCAAGGTAACTGCCAACTTTACTCAACTTGTAATCCACCAGCTAGCTTCGTTAGTTAGAGTCCTTAATATGTCAACGTGGCTGCTGTCAGAGGAATGCCGCCTTGGCCAGTCTCTGCTTCGCGGGCTCCATCAGCGACGTGTGAAAGCCGCCGCTGGTTTTCAGAATCTGGATCCAGGTATCGAGGCATAGGGCCAGGCGAAACTTGTTTGGCGTTGGCGGGGAGATTGCGAGGGCTAGGAGTCGTGTAGATGTCATGTCTTGTTGTTCCACCTGAACAGTTCAGCTTTTCTTGTCAGAAGGCCAAGGCAGGGAAATACATTCCGAATCCTAAAAGTGCGACCGACTTTGCAATGCCCACCCAAGAAGCCACCAGTCTCCATGTATATATGCAAAGATGTCCAGATCAACATATGTATAGCTGCTCAGATGCATAGTTGCATATGTGTGTATGTGCTTTTAAGCTCAATTATATGACTGCACATACATGTTTCCCTGGGTGAATGAGTATCTGTGTGTATAGCATATAACATACACAATACATCCTTCCTTCAGTCAAGCCCTACGACTCACCATGAGTTGCACCTTGGCTTGAAGGGCGCCCTCCTTCTCCGCCAGATCCTGCGCTGCAGCGCAAGCTTTGAGGGCTTCGGAGTCGTGCTTTGGGGGGCTTCGCATCCGCTTCATCTTGCGGGGCCTGTCCCTGTTTCGACCTCCAAGCCTGACAAGCCCTCGGCTTCGGATAACCCCTGCACAAAGAGCTGATCTCCTTGAGATGGGTAATGGCCTGCTCCGTCCCGGCGCAGGAGAAGCCTAGGAGTGTCAACACTAAGGATCTTCATGGATCTTCTGAATACCAGGGTGCTGGTAGATGTATGATTCATGGCCCACGGCTCTGTGAAGCCGGAAGCTCACACTGCATGCCCATGCCCCGGAAGAGTTTGCTGGATTATCAACAATGGGCATGCGGTCTGACAGCTTGAGCGGCTTGGTGCAGCTGTTGTACCCTGGGCTACCAGAAGATACAGCAGTAAACAAGTTATCACCAACTCCACGGTCGAACATGCTGGAACATTAAGGACTCTGCTGTCTCCTTTCGCCAAGTGCCCGAACCCTATGTTAAATTCAACGTCCCTGCCGTCAGGAAAGGCATTTGATCAGGCTGATGCCTTTGGGGAAGAGCTCGTTGGCAATTTGGCACACTGCCTGCGATGGAATCTGAATTACGTCATGGATGGGAAGCCGATGGAAGCGTGCTTTTTCTGCAAGATGGCGCTCCCCGTGGCCTTGCCCCCCTCCTTCTTGCGGGCATCTTCGCCTGAGCTTCTCCCGTAGCAGAGCTCGCAGACTTCTCAACCCCCTCACCCAACCACGTCCCCAAACCCCTACAGTCCTCAGTACACCTCAGCAGAAGCTTTGCCAACTGTACCAATCCTGAGGCCAAGGGCAGAGTCCTGCGAGCTTGGGCTTCTCAAAGCCGGCCACCGAGAGCATGGCCTGCTTTGAGATGTTTTGCCATATTTGGGGGATGTTCCGGGGGATGTTAGGGGGATGTTAGGGGGATTTAGGGTTTAGGGGTAGATGTGCTCACCGGGACCTGCTCACCGGGACCTGCTATGCCACTACCGGCCACTACTGCCCACTCCATCTCGGCCCCCGCCCACGGGATCATTCCAAAAAGGCATGCCAACACAGGAACTTGCTTCTCTAAATGCGTGTGCCAGAACCTGTTTCGAACATCCATCTTCGAAAGGAGCCACATGCTAGTCCAAAATAAGTCCTCCCATTCTGTTCATCCAGGATCCCGAATAACGACCGAGAGTCTGAGCGGTGGCTGTGCTACGATGCGAAGTCCTTCCCGTGAGCTATGAACACAAATGCCTCGCCAACCTATCATGAAGACCCGCATCAGCTCGGAGCAATCGGATCGATCGGGCTGACCCCCTGACTGTACCAATGCTCCAGTCCATGCAGGAGCCTGCTTTCCCACTGCTGCTGCATCCTGCATTGCTTGGCCACCTGAACCGCAGTACTTCTGGCTGTTTACCGTGCCCCGACTCAAGTATGGAAAATTTCACCAGCTCAGTCGGCACTTGACTAAGCTAGAGCCTACTCGCTGTCGGGATTCAACTGGAAGCCTTGGGAGCTAATCTTCAGAATCGATACCCTGAGTGAACAGCCACGTCGGTTCAACTTTCCCATGCACAGAGTTCACGCAGGCTGTGCACGGATGCGCTATCGCAAGATGTTGAAGCACACTCCGAGCCTACCCATCGGCGAAATTCAAGAAAGCACCACTTCAAGGCCCCGGCGCAAGCTGACAAGCTTGAGCCCCTCCTGGACAGAGAGATTGCATGACTAGGCAACACGTGAATGTGTAGGAGTGCAGTGCTGGTAAGTCGCTGTCAGCCAGGCCGCACTCAATCAAGTCAGTTTCCTCTTTAAAACGGAGCCGTATCCAGATGTGTTTCTGCCAGATATCCAACCATGGTTTCCAAGACAAACCCGTGGGCTGTTTGTTCATGGAGTGTGGAACCCCAGTCATGGATGCTAGCATAACAGGGGCTGATCTGCTTTTTTTGTTAAAGTCAAGACCCACCCACCGACGCTCAACCTAAATCCTGAGTCCTAAACCTGGGCCGCATTACTGTAAGGTCACGCGAGTGCCTCGCTTTGCAAGACCAAGGATTTTGGCCGCTTGCTGACATCCCAGTCAGTCGATCCCGACACGCGGGGGGTGGTGCTACCACAAGGGAGGGCCAACGTCCGAAAGCTGCTTACCGTAAGAGAACAGAGGGTAATAAGAAAAGCTGTGTGGCCAGGTCGTCATGCAAAGTGCCAGATGAGCAAACGCGAGGGTCTGAGTTAGGGCTGGGTAGTCTGCCAGACCCGTGACCACCTGCTGCATGGGCTCAGCTACGAAGCCGTGCAGCAGTGCTGCTACAGCAAACATCACAAAGAGCTGCTGCATCGCGAAGAGCATACCCTCTGCTTCGTTCTTGGCCTCTAACCATGCAGCACTAAAATGGGGCGCGTACTTCTCAAAGAACAGCATAATCCAGAGATGGGAGGCGATGATGCAGAAGTTCAGGTTTGCCAAATAGCTGATGCATGCCGCTGCTGGCCCGGGTAGCTTGATCTCAATGAATGTGAAAACCAGAAGGAAGAATTGAAAAGGCAAGCCAGCAGCTAGGAAGGGCAAGTGTCTCCTGCAATGATCTCCCCCAAACCCCAGATCCTTCCAGCCAGGATGGTCCTCGATGATCGTGCTCAGTGCCAATGATCCTCCGATTGCGGCGACCGCCAGCGGCGTGAATTTCTGGGGGATGCCAGAAAGCCCACAACGCGAAAGAGCACGGCAGGCACAATGGAGCAACATGGCGGCAGGAAGCCGGCAGTACCACAAAGAATAGTAATGATCTTGGGTTCCGCACAGTTTGGGCTGGTGATCTACATCCAGGAACATCCAGGCAATCCAAGCCACAGTGCCAGCTGTAACTAGGTGCGGTAGTGCAGACTCGACTGCAATCGCTGCTCCAATAATCCAAAAGATTGAGTACTCCATGCAGACAAACCATGTTGACGTCGGCCAGCTTCCGTTTGGAAAATCATCATATGGATACGTGGGCCACATCATGCCTGAATCAAGATTGTTCCTCACCGGTAGGGCGGAATCTCGCATCGTCACAGCTGCCAAAACCCATTCCTTCCAGCCTGCGAAATCACTGCGCGCCTGAATATCAGTCGTGTTGTCAAACAAGTAGGCCGGGAGACAATAGACCGGAGACGCAGGGCGAACGAAGAAGCTTGCCACATGCGTGAACGCTATCAGCACGCCTGCTTGGACAGCAACTTTCCTGAGAGCTTTCATCGCAAAGGACCGGAGAGTCAGTCTTTGGACCGACAGCAAACGAACGGTCAGGACGATATATACGTCCTCCAATCTGGTTATATCCGTACCCAACATATGACACAAGGGCCAGGAAAAAGGTACGGGCTGCCGTCTGTGAGTGTCAACCACCATCCAGACCGCAAGCAGCCGTAAGATGTCGATGGCGCTAGCCTCCCATGGCAAGCGGGAGGCACCAGGAGGCTTAGGGGGGGGCTTAGGGCCCTTCAAAGGGTGTAGGGACCGGGGTGGAAGGCTGATTTGCTCCAAGTTCATGGGTTCTGGGAAACCCAAACATCAAGCCCAAGACCCACCCAGAGTGTCCAAGAAGCCCGAGCCGCGCAACAAGCAAAAGCTGCCCAAGCCCTGAAAACTATGCCTGAGCCTGTCTACAGTACAAAATCTCTGCGTCGATGGCTGCCTTCGTAGCTTTTCCAGATGATGTGCAGCGTCCTCCCTTCCATCGCATGTACACCCAAGGTGTCATGGTCAGGGCGAAGATGAATCCACACATCGCCTCAAATGTCGCACTACTGCCTTAAGCCCTCAGGCTGCAGCCATGTGATCCAATCAACACCTCCCTCCTTACCTCAGCCTAGGCCGAGCAGCCAGAACGCCAGGTGTCCGAGGCGGCGATACGCATGAGTCATCCGCGCGGACGCGCTGGAAGGTGATGCCTCTTCAGGCGTCTGGACGAGAGGACACAGAAACGAAGTAATGCAGCTTTGAGCAACTCTTGTAAGTCAGGGCAAAGCTGTCAAAGGGTTCGCCACAGCAACAAAGGAAAGCAGATTGGGAATGAGATCTTCAAGCAGGTTGCGAACCGTTGGAAACAACTTTTGATTCTGTGGATGCCAAATCCCTGCGAAGCTTTCTGTGGCGCCCGAAAGGAAGAGGGAGGACCTGAATGGAAGTTTTCTTGATTTCGTCCATAGAACCCAGGACTAGTCCTCTGCTACTCGTCCCACAATGCTCTTGGGCCCTGAGTGCACTCTCAACTCCCACCTCAAAAACCCAGAATATAGTAAGCCCATTGAACCCTCAAGCGGAACTACGTCATCTCAATATCCAGAAAATATGTGTATGTATATATATATATATACACATTGATATTCAAAATTGAAATGTTAGTATTCATAATATTTATGAATCTTCTTTGTAAACCATCCTCGGGGCCCCCTACCTCCAAGGATGGCAGGCGCGTGGATGTGGCCATCCACCAGCACCGGGATCACCGTCACAGCCGCCTCGCCGAGGTCGCAGGACGAGGGCAGCGGAAGCGCCTTTTGGAAGACCGGCTTAGGGTTTAGGGTTTGGGGTTTAGGGTTTAGGGTTTGGGGTTTAGGGTTTAGGGTTTAGGGGTGCTGAGGTTGGGGGGGGGGGGGTGGTCTCAGCTCTGGATGGTTCAGAGGTGTTGCAGGCACGCTCCGAGGATCTCAATTGGTTTCTGCGAAGTGCAAAAAGGGTTCGGAGGAAATCAGGAAGGAAATCTCAAACGAGCTGCATAAATGCCTGCTATGTGATGGTGCTCCGAGGTGTACCAATCGATCTGGACCATGAAGAGCTGACACTGTACATCGCGCCAGCACGCCACAGCCTCCTTTAGACGGGGTCGGAATCTGAAAATGGTGCTGGGGCTCTTCGCCGGTGGTGGATAAATCTTGTTGCTGCTCCACATGGGTAGGAGCTGGTACTTGGAGTCGAGCATAACACTCTTCAAGCAGAGACCTTGGACATCAGCATGATTCGCGCCGCCAAGTGCTGGTGGAGGCATGGCATTGCCACGCTCTCGAAACATGTGTTTCATGTGCTCGGTCATGTACAAGGTGCCAAACATGTAAAGAAAGTCAGACCTGGGAGAACCTCTGACCGTGCTGACCTGTATCCACTCTTCAAGGCTTGGCAAAGCCAGGCAGCACCTTAAGTACGTGTAGTTTCCACGATGGTCAAAGCATCCTCCGTCACCGATGAAGACTTTCAATTTCTCGCCGGCAGATTCACAGCATCGCTCGTACGTGAACCCATCATGAAAGCACGGGGCATGTGCCTGGCCATCGGCAGGGCGTGCGTCAGGGGGTGCGTCAGCGGGTGCAGGCAATGGTGTCGCCACTGGACAGCAATCTTCGAAAGTGAAGTCGCCGTCGAAGCAGCTGGGATCCTGGGACGTGCAACAGTGGTCCCTGACGTTAGAAGGGATTCCCGACCAGCAATCTGCTTCAGCACGGGATGCCTGCCAAAGCTGCCACGCATACAAAGCAGCGAGCCAGGAGTTCTGGGCCAGTCTCATGCAGTAAGGGACGAGACTCTGCTGAAGACTACAGCCTGCTACAGCCTGCAGGCTGGGCTTGCTTAAATCGGCTCTTAGGGGGCCGAAGGTCCTGTGCATTCTGCGGGGATGGAGTTGCTTCGGTCGAGGGTTGAGGGGCAAAGGTGTCTACGAGTCTACCATCGGCACCATTCAAGCTCGTGCCTGCTGCTGCTGAATTCTGTAACTTTGGGCCAACCTTATGGGTCGCGCTTCAGTTTCCAGATGTTTCAAGTGTCACGTTGTCCTTCAGCCGTCCTCAACCCAAACCCCTCAAACACCAGGAGCCAAAGCCCACAAATCCCAGATGCAAACCCTGGATCTCCGAGCAGACTGCGAAGGAGCTAGGAGTCCTCCATGGGATTGGTCAGGGGGGGGATCTTTTATGTCGAAGCTCAAAGTGAAGAAGATTTAGGCCCCGGAGTCCAGGCATGTCCAGGGTGTAGGACTGTTTAGGACTCTAGGACTAGGGCTTAGGGTTTGAAAGAACACTTGTCCCCGTTTTGCAGCCCTGCCTTCACATCACATCTCCACTATCCCCATTACTCCCAGACTTTTTGTGCTGGCCTCCTCGGCACATGCTACATCATCTATTTTTGTCCGCCTTCGGCAGAATGCATACCATGCTGACGTGCTGAAGAAGGGTCGCTGACCCCTGCACTACTCCAACAAGCGCCTGATTTATGACATACAGTACCGGTCAATGCTGAATCCGAACACCCTGATTCCTGCATGCGCCAGCATGCCATCTCGCTCATTTCTTGACCGGCCACAGCTGCTTACCGTTGCGGTTGAAAGCCGCACACTTCCTGACTCCGTTGGCACGGGGCGAATGATTCGACTCAGGGTGTGGGCTTTGGGAGTCTTTGGGAGCCTTCGGGATTCCAGGGGTTTGATGCTGAGCTGAGCTTAAGCATGCTACGCACACGTTGCTTGGAGCTCCAAGCTGCATGGCCTGAAAAACTCATCATCAACAGCTGGCGTTATCGGACTCATTATCATTTTCATATCAGCCACACCTAAAACCCTAAGCTCATCAGCATCGACGCACCCATTTCAGAAGAGCGTGTTGGCATCTGGAGTGCAGGCAAGATGCGACTCTTTGACCACAAAGTTGGGATCTGAGGCAGCTTGTGGAGCAAACTTCGAGGTGCCGAGGATGTTCCTGGCGAGATGTGGAGGTACGAGAGGGGCCCTTGACTCACCTCTAGGTCTCTGGAGTCTCTGGGCTTCTTTACAAACAGTTGCTGTGGTGATCGCAGAGACGCTTGTCTTATGGATGCCTGACACACCGGGGCCCCGCACACACTCAAACACAGACATCCATGAACTTCCCGCGTTGCTTTTTCTCGGTCCTCAAGTGCACAAAGTCTTCCATGAAGTGCTCCTGGACCTGGGCAGCTTCTCGGAGGACTGACGTGCAGGTTTGTGACGAGTTTGTTATTGAGTTTTAGCTTCCTGCCCGCAGTATGAATGGTTGAACCGTCTATCAAGTTCACGCCCCCCGCCGCCGACACTGCAGACCTCGCGTCGGGTTGATGGAAGACCTAATCATAACACATGCAAACCTGAACAACATAGCACATGCCGAAGGCACGGGGGTGGAGCTGAAACCTAAGGCCCAAAGCCAACCCATGTCTTGAGCTGAGCGACGGCCTTCAGATTCTCAGGTGTTAGGCATCCACAGCCGACGTCGTACTTCTTGAGGACGTGGGAGTGGTGGTTGGTGCTGTTTAACTTCAGAAAGGCCAGACGCTTGTCGACCTTGCGAATATTTCCCTCCAAATCTCCGACCATGGGAACCAATTTGTCCACCTTGGAGGCGTAGCCTGAGCATCTGCGAAATTCTGCGAATGTGCATCGCCCTAAACCCCAACTTTCCCCCAAGAATCTGGCATTCGGCAGTTCTCCCAAAGGCAGAGTCGAGTGGCACCACTGGGGGATCATGTGGCAGTCTTCAACCTCCGAGTCGGTCTTATACCTCGAAAGTTGAAGCTCAGGTGTGTGGTGCACCCTCAGCAAACAGGCCTGTTTTGTACTGGAAGCATCCATGGCCTATTCAAGTCTTGCAACTGCTACTTTCTCCAAGTTGCGCTTGCATGACCAAGGACACCCACTTGTTGAAAGTAGCCTCGAATGGTGCAGGTGTCAGGACGGGACATGCGGAAAACTCGCCACCGTTGGAAGGTTGAGCTGGCACAGGACGCTTTCAAGACACAAGAGTTGAGGCCTCCAAGTGCTGCAGGGCACAGCGCCCTCCCCAGGTTGAACCCTAAACCCGAAACCCTAAACCACTGAACCCTAAACGCCCACTTCCCAAGACCCTGAAGTGTCACGGGCTCTCAGCGGCTGCTTCGCCAGGTCACACAGTCTGGCGTGGCATGGGAGTCCAAGCCATCGGCCTTGTACCTGTTGTCTTCGGGAGGCTCTGCAGCTTGGGGGTTCAGGTGGTGTGCGTGAAGTTGGGGGTTTGGCGTGCTTTTTTTGAGTTCAGGGCTGAGTGGTTGCCAGGTGCTTTGGGGTCCGGTTGGCTATGGTTTCACGTTTCGGGTTCCGGGATGTTTCGCTGAAGGTGTAAAGGACAACACCCACCCAGCCTGTTGTACCAACCCTGCAGGCGAGCCCAGGCAAACTCGGAGACGAGGCGGTCGCAAGGGTCCCGCACCACGGCCTCCCCGGCAGGTTGGGGACTTGAAGGCTGTGTTTAGTAAGTTTAGTACCTTCCAGGCTTAAGGCCTAGGAGGGAGGGTGGCTCAGGGTTGAGGGTTTTGGGCTCATGTCATGGCCTAAGCAGCAGATCCCCGCATCTCTGGCGGGCGTGAGGCTCCCTAAAGGGCGGTGAATCTGCCCCTCGTGACCAAAGCGAAAGGGCCGACAACTACGGGCGGTACATCTTCTGACATGCAGCCATGGTGCCCAGCTGTCTGGGACGTGCTCCTGCGCAAGCTGTGGAACCCGATGTGTGAATCAGAAGCTGAACCACACGGCAGGCTTGTCTCGAATTCGTAAGGTAGAATAGCGGAGCACGAGGGATCATACAGAATCGATGCAACAGTCTCCATTTCATAGAGCGTCCTGTGGAGGGTTGTGCTTCATGCAGAAGAAGGGCACCTCGCAAACCGACTTCGCAACTTTCACACAAGGCACAACTGAAGTGATCTCGTATCGTTCGTATTCTTTCTGGTTGCTTCTTCTACAGTACCGAATTCTAGGTGCAGGGCAGCTGGATGTGCGAATTGCTTGGAGAAACCGAACCGAGAAGCAACCCCTGTGTTCAGCGAGTACGGCCTCCGGATACCTCCCCGAGTCGGTGAAGTTGGACCCCAAAGCTCTCCAGATCGAAGTGCCTCTGCGGTGGGTTCAAGGCACCACAACTTCGATCCTTCTGGGAATGTCTGTAGCATTTTTGTAGCCCTAACCCTTTGAGCTACAAACAGGTAATACCCGTGAATCTCATGGGACACTCCGACAGAGCCGCCTGCTGTCTTCGGGATGTGCACGAAAATCGGCCCCTGCAGATCGCTCCTGATTGAAGGGGAGGGGATTTATTGGAATTTTAGTCGGTTGAATTTAAAAGGATAATGCCACGTTCATAATGCTTCAGGCCCCCCGGCCGCGGTGAAGAAAAACCTGTGAGAATCCGGGTCCTCAGCAATCCTTTTATCCTCTTTCCCGGCGTCACCGGCATCACCGGTGTCTCCAGTACGATGGCATGGACATAAGAAAGAGCAGCAACGACCTCGGGCGAACCCCATGCCCCACGTCGCTTTAGCAGACCCAACGGGCTCTGTGTGGTAGGAACATTTCTGGACATGTCGGAAGACTCTTTGCATGATTGCACGTACAGCGCGCAAACTGTCAACAGCACACAGTGATGAGAGATTACGGGCCAGTGGGAAGACACTTCCATGTCCAAATGAGCTGCGTTGCATGCAAGAGGCAATAGAACGCAGCAAAAGGATCTTCATTGTGCAGCAGTTGGGAGCAGCAGAAGCATGCTTCCCTTTGAGCCAAAAAGCGGATGTTCGTCACGCCACGTAAACCAAGCCCGACCCTACTGCATCATAAACCAGAAGCCCCCACACAAAGCACCTCGAAGGTGAAGGCGCCAGCTACGCACAGAGCTGTGTACTCACCTGACAAAGCTCGTTTGCGCATTCGGAAATGACAAGTCCCGAAGGCCCCTGGACGGACATATGTGTACGTATACATATATATATATGTACATACATATATACAGACGCGCAAGGTACAGGGCTTCCAGTTCATCTCAGGGTCTGCTTCACTCTAAGATTCGCAGACGCAGGGCAGTGAAGCCACCTCTTTCGGGGGCAAAGCCCATGGTGACTCCCTGGGCCTCTGGCCTAGCGACAGTCCAGCTGTGGCCTTGAAGTTGGCGGCATTCTGCGAACAGGGGAGGAGCAACGGCAGATAGCGGTTTAGGGTTTAGGGCTTAGGGTTTTGGGTGGCAGATGATGGCCAGCTGCGGGAATCTTCCCAGATACCGAGTGCAAGTGTTGCACCCCAGCCACGCTGTGCTGACCTACCTACTGTACCTGTCTCGATGTGTTCAACCCGGCTTCTGCAGGGTTCCTCATCTAGCACAAAACGCGACTCGAACCTGGCACAACCAACCCTCTGACACCCCCTTTCCACCCTCTCCGCAATGAACAGCTCAAGAAGCGGCAGCCAGCAACTAGGCTGTTCAGCCACTGTCGCAGTGGACACGAAAGACACGACACAAGCGCACGGCGCGCTCCTCGCTGTTCCCAACATGCCCAGCACACAAATGCGCATCAATGTGATTGTCAATGTGCCTCCGGACTGTCGGACTTCAGTTTCTCGACGGCCGCAAGCCTGGTCAGAACATGGGCCAGAAAAGACTGATGCTTCCAGAGGTTGGACTATGTAACCCGACATCAGGTGTCGAGGCGTAAGAGCTGATACTGCCAACCATACGGCAGTTCAGGACTTGTGTCGCTCGGCCTATGACATGCCTGTGTACTGTGGTTCTTATCAGGCCCCGGCATGGGGCTATGGGGCTCTCTGAGTGCCCGACCCGGCCAGGAACATGGCAGGCTGGCAAAACCTGGTCTCCTCCAGCTTTTCCTTGCGGTGGGCATGTAGATACCAAAAAGAAACAGCACAATTCAACGCCTTCCGACGTTCACCTGCAAGACTGGCTTCCCACTAAGTGCTTGCGCTTGTCCTGTTCCGAGCTGAGCCTATTCTTCCTGTCTCATGCACCAAAATGCCGGAAAGCTGCTTCTGGTCCCTCCAAACACAGCTGGAGGAGGTCGTAGCCTAGTGCAATGCTGATCTCATGGTAAACTCGGCACAAACTCGGATGTAAACTCTAAGGCAGTTTTCTTCGCGCGTCCGATTCGCGCGCGTTCCTGAGGCCGTTGCCCAGGATGCCTTTCGCCTTGTCAAGCATGTCCTGGCATCCGAGGGGGAAGCTCCACGGGGGGACACTGCCTGATTCATTTCAGCCGCAGCACTCGAGCTAGCATACCATCTGTCTGCAAGCGCAAGGATTTCTTTCTGGACTCCCAGCAGGCTGAGCCACTTCGAAGGCAGATCCTACGGAAGAGGTGACGACAGCTTTCTTCTCGAATCGAGTCTCGAAGTCAGCCAGGGTGTGCACGAGCATGCATTGCTTTTGCTGCTCCGCCTCTTTGCGCCTTTGGCTGCAGTGAAACACGGCTGAAAAAGGATACGCAGAGCAAGAACCCCAAAACCGTAGATGTCGGATTAGTGGTGGCCATGGTAACTGGCACCTTGGTCTTACAAACGGGCTTGTGCCAAAGTCAACAGTAACAGTACTTCGCCCTCTGCACAGACTCCGCCCCTGCCCAAAGATTGCAGGCATCGAAGGCCATAGTGCCATGGTGCCAATGGAGCCTACTGTAGTGCTAGCCATGGGACAGTTGCAGAGTTCGATCCTTGCAAGCGACAGCCCAACCGAGCTGCTGTCCAACGCGCGGCTTCGGGGCAGAATTGTCCAAAGATTGCCCTCCTACTGTATAGGAATGTATCGAACGGCTGCGTTCAATTGGTGGATTTTGTGTCGTCTTGCGTGCAGGTTCGAAGAACAGCTGTACATGTCCGAGAGGCTAACACACCATCAGAGTCTCACTGGAGTACCTTGAAGTAAGAAATCTTGAACGCTCGCTTTCTCAGGTAGGTCTCCATACCGAGCCTTGGGTCACAGTGTGTGCTGAAAGCCAGGGGCTAACATTAGAAGGTGCACGTGAGAGTCGAACCGCAACGACACTATTACCACAGAGGCCGACGTATACGATATGCAGACTCTTACCTGTGCGGCCTCTTTGGGGTTTAGGCCGCAAAGCTGGGACTATAGTGGTACGGGGCATGGGTTGGATGATGTAAAACCTGAAGTCAATACCCCTTTCAATAACTTATCTGCCATTAGGATCCCGATCCGTTTCCTTAAGCAAAGGATGCTCTACTCTCTGTGAGATTGAGAGAACGAGAGAGAGAGCGAGGGAGAGAGAGAGAGTCCTTCCACCCCGAACTCCAGATTTCTGCTCGACCCCTCGGCGTGCCCATGGATCGGCCCTAACTTGAGTAGAACTCCAAACACCCCAACCCCAAACCCTAAACCCCTAAAGGTTTCGGCTGGAGGGTTTGGTCTATGAGCTCCGAGCCAGGAGCCGCAGAACTTGTCGAAGCCGTCGCGCAAATCCTCCGGGAAAGGTTCTCTGTGTGTGCGTGTGTGTAGGGTTTAGGGTGATACTTCGAGCTTGTTGCGGTTTTGTGGGGTGTAAAGGCGCAAAGAGGAGCAATCAATATCCCTGAATTCAGGAGTGTATACCTCAACTCGTGTAGGCACTTAAATATCAACGGTTTTCTTGGTTAGGCGTTAAGGGGTAGATATTGGGCTCGGGGAGGACTGCTGGTTGCAGGTTTAAGAACTACTGGTCATGCTCATCGGCTGTCCACGCCCCAGCTGATCTGATGCCCTTCAACCATGTACTTAAAACGACGTCCTAGAATGAACATCGAAACCCGAAACCCTAACCCCAAACCCCGGAAACCCTAACCTCTGTGAGAGCCCTGGGCCTTGGCATTCGCTGCCTTGAGTCGCGACGACTTGGCGCCATCCATGCCAAAGAACATCTGGCGCCTGAAGGTCTGGATTTTTAGGCGTCTAGGGCAGTTTTGGGTTGAAGGGTTTCGGGTTTATGGGCTGGGTGAGGGGCTTCCATGCCTTGAGGGCTTTTAGGGGGCTTTAAGGTTTGGGATCTGCTCCGTTTGTTTTGGGCCTCTCGGGGTTCCGCTCCTCACGGCGCTGGAGTTGAGGGTTTTGGGCTTGGGGTTTGGGGGGTGATGGGGGTGTTCTAGTCTTGGGGGGTACGTACGTGGATGCTCACGGGTACATGTAAGGCAATCATGGATCTATCTTGTTTGTTTTGAAGCAATGCTGACCGCAGCAATTAAGAGACTTAGGAGGTTGATGGAGGTTGTACCGAAGCTATCAGACGACAGACATATTTGGGTTCCTGGATGCAGTGGCAAGTCTCGCGCTGCCCCCGCGCAAAGGAGTGCAAGCAAACACGTGAAAAGGTTGAGTGTTGATCTGCATGATCTTTATTACTGGTAGATGACACGCAATGTATAAGCTTACCAGAGTGCACAATAAGGAACCATCTAGGTATGGTGGCGATTACCACTTCCACGTGCCTGTTGCACTGGACTATACTGGGCTCGTAGCTTCTGCTGCAGGCACGATCGGCCACGCGCAGCACAAGCAGCAACAAGGGCTGTTATACCCAACGGCTCATTCAAAAAGCCGTTTATCGAGTTGATTGTGTGGGATTTTAAGGCGTAATAGGCCCTCCTGGAAGGAAATAGGAAAGTCGTCAGTTGGGATTTGGCACGGTGCCAACCGACTTGGACACGTCGCTACCACGTCGACAGGTGAGGCACTGAGTGGCTGTGCCTCACTTGCCACCAAGGTACTTCTACACAAGCGTGGCCAGCGCGACCCCGACAGTGCGCCCCCCCCAGTCATTGGGAAAACTTCCTGTAAAGTTAAGAGACATGTTCAGATGGGTCCGGACTACAAGTAGTCTTACTCCTTTATTTACCTTAACATGACATACATGACGTAACCATACATAGCCTGTGCGAAGTGAAACCAGACTGAGGAGTGCCACGGCATAATCTACGGTGCGGACTCAACACATCTAACCAAATCCGCAGGGTTCTTGGTTGCCCTTCGCAAATAGCCATTCGTACAGAGCCGTCTGAAGGTCAGTATGTCTGCTCCTACAGTTTTCGACTGCCCTATGACAATCCATAAGCGTCGAAGCCAGCAATCCAAGACGCTCAAAGTTGAAACGAGAATTATTGCACATGCGATTCCAACATGTTCGCAGCTGCGCCCTCGTCAACGGGTGGGGAAGTGACCTCTTTCTACAGTTGCGCCTGATCATCTGCATGCGCGGAATCGCAAGGCTTAAAGATAACGCAACTGGTTCTTAGTAGGGTATGAGAAAAAGGTTGGTGCCTTATAATCCCGATCTGTATATACACACATCCTTTAAGAGATTATTTTGGGAACCTAATTTCATTCCCGACTAAGAACCAGCAAATTAAATCGCAGTTGTACTATGTGTCATGTATGGCATTGATGTATTAGAGAGCTTGCAGGGCACTCTTCCCCACGTAGCTCTTGCCAGCACGCACGCTTTTGGGCCCGGGGCCCAGGCCACTCCGCATCCTCTTCATGGCAACTTTCTGTTCGAGTCGCTGAGGTAGCTTGGAGACTTCTGTCAGGAATGAGTCAAGCTTCTCGAGGTGCTGGAAGTGCATCTCATGATCTGGAGGGACCATGACGCCAACGGGGAGATAGCTAGCCCGCTCGCGCAAAGGAGGCATGCTCCAGGAGAGCTCGACCTGAGATGCCACCGCGAACTCCATGAGAACAGGCTCTTCTTTGATGATGCTCTTCAAGTGGGCCGGGACATGGACCGAAACGACAGCAGAGCCAGAGAAGACACCAAAGCCTTCCGAGTCGTTGGACCACTTCCGGACAGGTCCGTCTTCAGCGCTGACACTTGCGCACTCATCGGCCATGCTCGGGAGCTGCTGTGTAGCCAGGCGCGCCGACCCAACTGCGGGCAGGTGCTTCACCTCCTTCGGCACTCCGAAGTCTTCGGCTTCTGAGTGCTTCACGGTCAGCATGTCGAACCTAGGCTGGCACGCGTTTGAAGCCCTCTCTCAAAAAAAGGGATACTCCCTAAATATCCCTCCTCTTAGGATTTAGGGTTCAGGGGAAGATGTAGAAAAATATCCCATCTGTCGAGGAACTCTGTGACAACCGTCGACGAGGCACAGCCCATGGCAGCGTGCTGCGCAGCCAGCCGACTGTGGCCACCGGTAGGACTGACCCAAAAATTGCTGCGTGCGCGGGCACTTCTGTAAATCATGGCCCCTTTTTGGGGTCCTCCTTATGAGGCGGCACCTGCTATTTCAGGGTACGCAGAGAAGGCCCCTAATTCAGAGAATCCTCCACATCATGTTCGCTGCTACAAGGCACAGAGAGTCTTAAGCCTTACCGCCCTCAACTCTCGACCCGAAATCTACATACCTCAGATATATCCTAAAGTCTGGGACTGGTTGACTGGCACCAGACTCTCAGGTCAAGCTTGTGCCGTTGAGTGGGGGGGGGCTTTTGCAGGCTGATTAGGGCCAAAATCGCCTGCAATGAGCCCTAAACCTTATCCCCTAAACCCTAAACCCTAAACCCCCCAAAACCCTAAACCCTAATGCCCCCTGGAGACCCTAGAGCGACCCTGACCCTGCATCCCGCCAGACCCAAAGCATGCCCTTGAGCTCCGGCTCTCCGAGATGAGTGCAATCAAAGTCTTCTATGGCCGGCTCCCAAATGGCTAGTTTGTTTAGGTCCCGTTTTCGGAACTACCACACTATGCCATGGCAGCTCTGAGAGTCTATCTATAGTGATATTCGTGATAGTGACGATACGACGAAGATGAGGTGGACTGCACTCTGCAATGAGGCATCGGCCTCGGGGTTCAATGATGTCAGTTCGCCGCCACCTTCTCGACCTGCAACCCCTGCGCCTTCGACATCTGCAAAACGTTTTAAGTCCCGTAATTTTCTGTAGCGTTTGCTGACCCTTGCTGTCAAGTCTACTTCAGTTCAACTCTTTCTCGAACCTAGGACCTATAGGCCCTAGTCACACATTCGTCACAAATCACCACAAATCCCTCAACCTCACTGGCCACTTGGTGTCCTCCAACTGCGTAGGAGCCGTCAAAAGCACAAGAAGCCGCGGAGGTCAGATGGCGCCGGCCTTCCGAGGGGTCAGTGCATGGGATGATGGATGCCATGGAAGCTTCTGGGTTTCAGCTGCCACAGCTCAGGCCGCTGTGGATGGCTACTATACGG